CTCTCTCTCTCTCTGCCCCCCCACCCCACTACTAGCTGATAGAGATAGGAAAGAGAGGATGAACTGTACAAGTTAAGCGCTCAACTTTACCTCGGTTAGTGGTGAAACGCTCGGCTGTTTCAGCTTTCTCCGGACCGGGCTAAGACAACATGACTACGGCTCGCCTGTTCCTCACCGGGTGGGGGGGCCCCAGGGTGAAATCCAGCCGTCAGCGACTGTAATGATCCAGCTTTGTTTGGTTATTTTCTTGACAGCTCTATCACCTCTCCGCGCCTGTCGCTGCTGCGGGGCTGTGTTCACTGAGGCAGTCAGCAACACTGAGCTGAGCTGAGCTGGCTCTCTGCCACTTCTTCTTCTTCTCCGTCTCAAGCGGCCGTAGTGTTGATCGCTGGGAAATGATGTGGTCCCATCCCACCACTAAAGGGGGGAGTCCAGAGCTGTTATCAGCACACCCGGCGGGGTATTCATTTTTTATGATGCTGATACAATTTGGCACACAGAATCATAAATATGGGTTTGTTTGAGTAATACCTTGAATGGTATTTTCTAATAAAGTCATTTTATTTATATTAAAACAACTGGATTTGCTATTTTTCCAAGCCCTAGTCATGAGTAGCAATTTAATCCTAATCATATAGTAGAAATAACCTACAACTATTCACTTCGGGCAGGAAAGAGTTACATTTTGTGACATCGCAACCCAGCTGACTGACCACGACCACGTGACTTTGCGGAAGTGAGAGGAGAAAATGCGCCGATCTTAAGCGGTGTACTGTGAGAATGCTGCGCAGTTTTGCCCTGTTTTTGTTTCTCTTTGGTTGCGTGAGCAAAGCGTTGTGCGTTCAGGGTTCATGCGGGACTCGGTCAGAAGACGCAGCCCCGCAGGGAGCGGCGGGCTGCGGCTGCGGGCAGCTGAGGAGGGACGGTGCTGTGGAGCCTGTGGAGCCTGTGGAGGACAGGACAGCCTCTGAAGAGCCAGCTGACAAATACTCAAGAGGCGCCAATGAGAGGCTGCCTGAGGGTCGGGCAGATGAGAAGGAGATGCAAAGTCAGGTAATGTGCCCACGCTACAGCTCACAGTAGAGGAGACATGGAGATTTAATATGAAATGAAATGGAATATGTTCAACTAATAGATAAGGTACAGAGGTTGGGAGTGACGCCCTTTAAGGCTACATTAGATAAACTAAAGATATTTTTTTTTTGTCAGACTTGGTTGATCTTCAAATTAAAGTGCATGCAAGTTCTCATTTTAAATTTAGTCTGATGTTGTATCCACCTGCCCTGCTGTAGTAACCTTAAAGACCCTGAAACCTTCTCAGCAACAGCACAGTTTTGCACTGTAAATCAGTTGTTCAGCTCCTCTCAATCAAGAGTGTTCAGAGCCTGTTTGTGGCATTGTGTTTGGTAGTATTAGACAAGGTATGGTAGTTCGACTGCATTTGTTGCTATTACTCATTGATTACGCTCATCCGGCTTTGAGAAATGACAATTAGGTTGTTAGGTGTAGCTTTGTTTAGAGCCCAGTAAAGGTCATAGCCAGGGTTTGCCATTCCTGGTGAGCCAGTCTGACTGCTGCACTCATTGTGGGAGTTCCCTGGTTCCTGGAAAACCTCAGGCATTACTACATGACATTATGCACAATGTCCAATTCATTTGTTGTAGGTGACATCTGGTGCCATGACGTAGGACAAGTTGAATGAGAAATTACATTTCAGCCTTGTGCACAGAAATAGCACAAATCCGTAAATAGTCAGTCAATGTAATTTCTTTTTATTGCTGTTGATATGATTTTATAACTGTGGTGTATGCCTTTGACGTTTATTGAGGAATATGCAGCCTACTGGTCTGATAATACATCTTTGCACAGCCATTTTAAAAACTATAAATCCTTGCAATTCTATAACCTTCATCAAACTAAAGTGATTCATACAACCTCTCGTATGCTTGTAAAAAAAATAAAAATAAAAGTTTATATTCTGCTTTCAGATGGTGCTGATTACTGGAGGAGAGTTCCTGATGGGAACAGACGACCCAGGCATCCCTGCAGATGGAGAGGGCCCTCAGAGGTTGGTGCTTCTGGATTCCTTCTACATGGACATCCAGGAAGTCACTAACCAACAGTTTCAGAACTTCGTCAGTGTCACAGGATACATTACTGAGGTACGCATCATTACTGCATCTAAAGATTAGAGGTTAATGTTATAAAGTTGAGAGGTTTCACTGTGTTTTTATGCTTGTGCTTTTAGGCGGAGAAATTTGGAGACTCGTTTGTATTTGAGGGAATTTTGAGCGAGAGTGTCAAAAACCAAATCACTCAGGCGGTAAGTATGATTATTCAAAGGTCGCCCTACCTGTACAACTCACTTTTTCTTAAGCTACTACACCTATATGAAGCATTGTTAGTGTTATTAGTATCAGCCTTTTGAAGCCCTGTAGATAGACGTCAGATAGATATCTATCCAATTAATATAAATGACAAATTATTGCGATTATTTTGACAGATTTGATTAGTGTGAATGATCATTTTTGCATCACAATTTTCATGTTCTCTGACAAAAACCCCATTAAATTTATGATGATGTGAGATTTGTTGGGGTCTGTACCAAACAAACATGTTTTCTTACATCTGGAGAACAAGATTTATAGGTCAGGACAGCTCTGCAGCACTACAGTACTTCATTATAGTGCAGTTTTGTTTCACATTTTACCATTTTAAAATTGCAGCTTCTGTGATTTGGATATTGCACTTGGTCACTTAATTGTACAGCCCTATTACAAATGTCGGGGGACATAAATCAATTATTATATCATGTTATTATTTTGATGTATTTTAACATTTTTAGAGTAATATATGTGCACTCAGCCTTTAAAGCTCTTCAGAGTACCAGCCTCTGCTCCCACATATTTTTGGCTTTAGGTAGACATGAAGACTATACCACTGTTATTTAACAGCCATGAGAATGTTCACAGGTTTGCTTGTAAGAGCCCTGAGCACAGCAGGCCTCTCAGTGACGAAAGCCAGACAGCAGGGAATTACTGCTACATCTCAGCTGTCATGTGCAGCCTTGATCATGTTGCTGAGAAGGTGCTAGGTACCCATTAGTATGGCAATACTGGAAACCATTAGCACAATTGCAATTCGGTACATTAAAGACAATTCTATGTGAACCATGAAGTGTGCATGTGAGAGAGAATGCAAGGATGAGTATGAAAGAGGGATATCATCCATCATGAAATATTGGTTCCATCACTTTGTCATCAGGTGGCCGCTGCTCCCTGGTGGCTTCCAGTCAAAGGGGCCAACTGGAAGCACCCTGATGGTCCAGACTCCAACATCACAGACAGGTAGAAAGACGCTCTACATATACTTTAATGTTTTATTATTAAAGGGAAGGTTTAAGTCTGTTTTAAACAATACTGTCATGTCCATATGTACATTGAAACAGTTTATGGTCACTGTAATTGTTCTTCCTCTCCATACTGGCCATGAACAGGATTCCAATATAAGTGATGGGGGACAGGAATGAGGAAGTCCTTATTCAGTGTAAAATTACATTCTAAAGTTCAGCTGAAGCTAATATGAAACTTCAGCACTCTGAGTGAGACAAATCAAGTGGGGTTCTTCTGAATTTATAGTCTTTTTAGTACCAGAAGAAACACTGCAGGAAACACAAAGAGGGAATTTGGCACTAAAAAGACTGTAACTTAAGACAAAACCTACTTGATTAGTCTAATTCAGACTGCTGGAGCCTCCTGTTAGCTTCGCTGGAACTTTGCCCAGAACAATGACTGCGGATCTTGTTCCCCATAACTTACATTAGAATCATGTGAAGAAGGGATCCCTCCTTCCAGTCAGTATGCAAAAAACAACTGAAACAATCAAACTCTTTTTGTGAACCTAACTTTTAAACATTGATTCAAAACCAAAATCTTTAACAGTCTTTTCCTCACAGTTATATCTTTTGGTAAAAGCAGAATGAAAACCAAGTACAAGCTTAGTAATTAACTTCAAACCTGTTCCTTGTAGGCTGGACCATCCTGTTCTGCATGTGTCCTGGGCGGATGCTGTTGCCTACTGCTCCTGGGCCAACAAGAGACTTCCTACAGAGGCAGAATGGGAATACGCCTGTAGGGGTGGCCTTAAAGACAGGTACGATATTTAATCATTATGTGACTATAAATATATGCTAATGTGCATGTGCTGTGGTCTTTATTTCGTCATGTACTTCCCCTACATATAGGCTTTACCCCTGGGGAAATAAGTTGAACCCAAAAGGACAACACTATGCCAACCTCTGGCAGGGGGAATTCCCCAACCATAACTCTGGAGAGGATGGATACATCAAAACTTCACCGGTGAGACAGAGAAGACAGAGGGATGCCATAGTTGTTGGGGGAGGAAGGGTGGCTGTTCTCATGAGACATTGTCACAAAACTGGAAACTTTATATTTGAGCCACTGCCTACAGAATCTCCAGGAAATGAAAGGTGCTGGAGATAAGAGCTCATTTCAGAAGTGAATATAGTCCCACCAGCAGCATGCAGCTTACAGAGATCAAATGTATAATCATTAGATAATATTAATCCAGTCTCTTTCTCTACAGGGGCGGCTTTAAAGCCCTGATTTAGAAGTATCAATCATGAATGTATGCACTCAAATTCTTGAAGGGTACGAGCTGCTGAAGGAATGTTAGGAATGTAACAATGTATTGCAAGACCGATAAATCACGATACAAACACACATGTAAACATTCAAATCGGTGAAATTAAAAATGAATTGTAATACTCTATCTAAACACTCACTCGTGTCAGTAGTTGTACCAAAGCGCCAACACATGGCAGCTGCAAGTGAAGACTTTGAAACTGAGAATGCACCATCCTGTTTAAATTGGCAGCTTTTTGGCTTCCCTTAGTCAGAAAATGGAAAAGGTAACAAGATAACAGACAAAACATGTTAAGAGATATGAGGCCATTTTCCAAATAAAAGGAAATATATTTATTGTTTTGCAAAGCTTATATCCTACCTCTGAGAATTAAATGAATGTTTTTCAATCATAGTTAGTCTTGTCTATCTCATATTAAAAAGAATTGCGAGAAAATATAGTATTTTTATAATTAGGATATTTTATAATTAGTATATTGTGAACCCAGTATCGTGAATTGTATCAAATTGAATGGTGTATCGTTACATCCCTAAGGAAAGTGCATCTCTCTGATCCTACAAGCTACCGTACATGGATGTTTATTCTTCACTGATTATAATAACTAAAATGTAATCTCATTTAAACAGCTTGGCATGTTGGGCAATAAAAAAAAAACAACAATGGAGGAAAAAAAAAAATGGGGCTACCTATAAATCCAGATTAAACACTAAGTGATCTGTATATGTGAGTCAGTTCTCAGACTCACATGCTCATTCTGGCAAATATGCACATACAGTACATACAGTACAAACAGCCATAGGGCTTACATAGCTATCATGCTTTCAGAAGATTCAAGTGTTTCTAATAGTTCGGCGTAATACAATTCTTAATCACAACCTGCATTATTGTGGCTATATTTTCCCTGTACCCTGTAGGTGATGTCCTTTCCTGCTAATGGTTTTGGACTGTATGACATAGTGGGGAACGCATGGGAATGGACCTCAGACTGGTGGACTGTGCATCATAACGCAGACCAGCAACACAACCCCGTAAGAACACATTACCTCTACGTTTTTGAGTTTTCCAGGTTTAGGTTTTGTTCTGATATTTAATAATTCCTTTGTCTTTCAGACGGGTCCTCCGTCAGGCACAGACAAGGTGAAGAAGGGAGGGTCATACATGTGCCACAAGGTAAAGAAGACACTTCGACATGCTTATTATGCTCTATAGTTCCAAGTTCAACATCTTGATTGTTAAACATGAAATTAAAAACACCAGTCTAAATGTCCACTGACAGTTAGTTAGATTCAGTGGGTAGTGAGGTCTTTTACAATCTGAGTTCATCAGTGAAAACAGAATAGTTTTGGCCAATGGTGCGAACGTGTTTAATAGCAAATATTGAATCTAAGAAACAGCTCTGACATTAGCATTTCTAAAGGGAGTAAGGAAGCTCACTGTGACTCTCCACTTGTTTAATTACAAAGGGAAAATGCAGACTCTCATATTCTCTCTCCTCTTCCTGGTATGTCAGGTTAAAGCAGTTCCTGTGCTAGAGCACGTCTCATAATGTTCATGGAGTCAAGAGAACTCATATCAAATGCATATGGTGCATTTCATTTATCTGCAAAGCCATTTAAGCCACCCACTGATGACCATTCCAGTTTGCTTGTCACCAGAATTGGTTGCCATGGGAATGTGACTTAATTGCATGCAAAATAAGTCGTAAGCACAGAGGTCCTGTTTGTTTTATATGAATAAACCATGTGAGGGAAGAAAGGACAGCAGTCAAACAGGCTCAATACAGGATGGCAGAAAAAACACATTTAGAAAGAAATGGTGGCTAAACTAAAATGGTCTCTGTGTGATTGTCTCCATAGTGTTTTTTTTCTATACTGTAACAAAAAACAGTAACAGTAAATTAATTAATTGACAGTAAATTTCCCTCTTTTCTTTGCCCCTCCAGTCTTACTGTTACAGATACCGATGTGCAGCTCGAAGCCAAAACACCCCGGACAGCTCAGCCTCTAATCTTGGTTTTCGCTGTGTCTCCCGGGAGCAACAGTGACCTGACCTGCTTGTCTTAAACACAAAATCCGTTCTTCCAGCTGCCCTCTAACCCCAGTGTCAGTTGTAAAGTAAATCAATGAAAGGAATTTAATAGAGGCTCTCTTATGTGCCTTAACATGCATCTGAAGTTGATGGTTTTTCTATTAAAAAAAAGTCAGAGGGTATGAAACAGCTTGGAGAATGTCTTACCTTCCAGCAGATATTCTCAGAAATGTAACGTTTTGCATTTTTTCAGACTTCGTTGATAGCACTGAATAACGTCACGTCATGCTGATTGCGTTTCTGTTTGGGTCGAAGAACTTTTTAGTGGCAAAGATCAGTGTGGTCTTGTAAATGTCAAAAAAATCTCTGCACACAGGTTGTGATTATCAGCAAATGGCTGGTTGAGATACATACACAAAGTCCATGTGAAGTGTGGAATTGCTTTAAAGTTATTGTAAAGTACTGTAATATAATGTTTTCAAACGCTGATAAATGTGTGACAAATGGGATCTCAAACAATCCCGTTAGTCTTTCTTTTTCAATTTCTTAATTATTCATAATAAAAAACTAACCGAAGCATCTTTGTCTTAATGTGACTCAAAATGCTTAATTGAATTTGCACAGGAGACTTGGGGTTTGATGCTAAACCTCAGGGTGCAATTTTGTTCTTACTCTGTGTTTTTATCATTATCACTCTGACAACCATATTAAACCGGTTTAATATGTAGTAGTAGCATCCACTAGAGGGCAGCACATACTCAAATATCTATCTGTATGTGTTTGTATCAAGAGGGTATGTATGAGTTTGTACATAACCATATTGAGAAGTTAAGCTGACACAGTATAAGCCCTGTCTGTAAGGATGGTTCAGGGCAGTGAAAGCTGTGACGGTGTAAAGCTGATTCAGTTTTGGACTGAGATGGGCTTAAGTTGCCTTAAGACATATGATTAAAAATCCACATGAAACCAACAGCCTGTATCACCAGAGTGTGCCTGTCAAAACTGAAAGAATATAATAACTGACAACAGGAATTGAAAAAAAAGACAAAATGTTTGCAAAAGAACCAAAAATTATTTATTTTATCTTCATCAGTATACATATTGCATGTGAAAATAATAAACTAAGCAATTAGCAAAAAAGTCTAATAAAATAAGAGTCAACAGGGAAAGGGTCAAAAAGATTCTAGTGCACCTTAGTAATAAAAACAAAATCTCAAGATGTTTTAACAAACATTTGTATTTCTAGCATTAACATCACATTTAAGAGCAAACTAAAATCCTATTCTCTTGCAGTTTAAATCAGAAAGTTCAAAGGTATAGTTGATACAACATTACTGCACAATTGCTAACATTCAGTAGACAGTTTAATAAGTCTAAACCCCACTGTCAGCTTTTAATTGAAGTTCAGACAAACTCCATTATCTATCAGTGCACAACAGGTTACCTGTTTTACAAAACAGAGAAAAAAAAACACTGATTTCCACTAATAATGCAAGAAGACCATCGGCCCCTGCTGCTGCATTATTAACCCAAAAGAGAGTGAATGCACCACAGAAACAAGAGCATAGCAACTAAGACAACCTGGAGGCTAAATACAGCTGCCATCTTGGAGAGTCCAAAACAATTAAGAGATAGAAAGAATCAAACAAATGCGATACGCTATACTAATAAAAATCCTGTCCTTGATCACTCTGCCTCTTATTAGCAAAGCTGAGAATACAAAAAACATTTGCAACTTTATTCGACTTTTGCACCAAAATGGCAAAAGTGTGTCTTTTTGTGCTGCTAGAGAGGCAGCCAGGCCTCCTTATTAAATCCTTACCACATGTAGTAACTACGCGTGGTGTCAACAGGAGAGAGTTTTCCCTCTGTGCTGCCATCTTTGTCCTTCTCACCGTCAGCCTCCCACAGGTTGATGAGAGGAGGATAAAGCTCGTTCAAGGGGATGGAGGAAGTCTTCAGCATGTATTTCTTCAGAGAGTGGTGGTAGTTTTTTCTCTTCCATCTGCGGGCGATGTAGACGCCCACGGTGGCCAGACTGAGGAAGGCCAGCATGGTCGCCATGACAGCCAGCACAGCCGCACTCGGGTGCTGGTCTGACAGGTCCAAGGCAAAGGTAGCGCTGCGTGTTGTCACATTGACACAAGACTTGTGTGTCTGTAGGTGGATGTTGGACACCGTGAGGCATACCTCATATTCAGTAGCGGGCTGAAGGTGTGTGAGGTTGTACTCATGAACGTCTACAGGGACACGAGCTGTGTAGGTGATGTGTGGGTTGTCAATCTTCATGGTGGCTGAGGCCCACTTTAAGTTGGAGGACATGACGTTAGAATTTACCTTCCAGGAGACCAGGATGGAGTGCGACTCAGTCTGCTTGACATAGATTTTCATCACTTGGGTGCTGTCTAGCAAGGTGCCATTTACACGGATGGTGGCAACCCTTGTGTCAGCTCCTTCTGTGTTCTGGGCCACACAGGTATAATGACCAGAATCCTCCACTTGAACATGAGACAGCCGCAGGGTTCCCTCACTGCTCAAGTGGTAGCGCTCTGACACAGTGTCTATTGTGATTTTGGTCCCAAGAGGAGTCACCCAGTAGATCTCAGGCTCTGGCTCAGCCATGGCTCTGCAGTCAAGACTGACACTCATGCCCAGCTCGAGGTTTAAGTGACTGGGAAAGGTGTTGTGGGATATGAGAGGGAGGCATTGCTCTGGGGACTCCAGCAGCCTTAGCCCTCTAACACGCTGGCCTTTGAGTTCTGATGGGGAGGTGCACAGCATGGACAGGGGCTCCATGAAGCGCACCGTGGTCCGGTTGGAACTCATCCACTCAATGACACAGTCACAGCGCAATGGGTTGCTATGTAGACTGATCTCCCGCAGATTAGGCAACACCTCCACAGTGTGCTGGTAAAGGGCAGTGAGGGCGTTATTGTTGAGCATCAGGCTCTCCAAAGAAGGCATGTCCCTAAAGGCCAACCTATGCACATAAGACAGCTTAGGGTTGTTTGTGGCTTCCAGCTTTGTTAGTTCTGGTAAATTGTCCAGAGCATAGCGATCAATTGACACTAACTCCATCATGTTGTTGATACCCAGCTCTTTCAGACGTAACATGTTCTGGAAATCTCCTTCCTGAATTTTGTGAACTGGATTTTTGTTTAAATCCAAGAATTTCAGATTGGGAACTTTTTGAAGGGCCAGTTGAGGGATTCTGACCAATTTGTTGTCATAGAAAGAAATGCTTTCAAGGTTATCCAAACCTACAAATGCATTTGCTGGAACGTCGGTGAGGTCCATACCAGCCAGGACCAGACTCCTCAGGCTTCCTAGAGGCTTAAAGTTCATGTCTAGGAGGCCAATAACTGGGTTCTCCCCAATCATAAGGATCTCAAGGTTAGGTGTTTCTTCAAACCAGCGGTTGTCTATGACATGGAGCCTGTTGGAGTTGAGGTGAAGGCGCAACAGGTTAAGCAGGCCTGCAAATGCCCGAGGGGAGATGGAGTTTATCTGGTTGTGGTTGATGTAGAGCTCCTGGAGATTGGAGAGGTTTCCCAGGCAGTGGTCTGGCAGCTGACTGATGTGGTTCTCCTCAAGATGCAGGGTAGTCAGGTGGTTCATGCTTGTGAGGCCTACAGCTTCCACAGTGCTGAAGTTGTTCTGGGATAGGTCCAACTCTGTCAAGTTGAACAACGCCTCCAGCTCCCCACTGGTGTGAGAGATCGCGTTACTTTGGAGCAGTAACACCTGAGTATCTGTGGACAGGTTAGTAGGGATGTGCGTGAGCCTCAAGTCATTGCAGTCCACTGTGGTTGCCTCCTTGTAGGTCGACTGGGGGGTGAACCAAGGGCGGATCTCACATACACACAAACGTGGACATTCTTTGCCATGTATGGGCAAAAGAAAGGAAAGAAGAAAGCCAATGCATAGCCAGAGTAGAGGTGGCCAAGGCTGCGAGCTGAGCGCCATGATGTCTGCTCTCTCTGCTCAGATAAAGCTTAGATGAGAGGCAGTGTTCTGAAAAAAGGCTTGGAGAGAAGGTTCATGAGCATTAGTCTTCTTTGTTGATAGCTATGTGCTGTAGGCAATTTTCAGAGTGGTGATTTCTTATCCAGGAGAAAGTTATTTGCAGAATTCAGGGCAGGGGATCATCTGGTCCAAACTTGACCTCTGCTGATTGTTTTCTGTTCTCACTTCCTCACCTTGAAGTTTAAGCCTAAAAAAGACGGAAAAGCAAATGAAATTTTAAAGTCTGCAACATAGATATACATTTTTTTTGATGATCTGTTTGCAAAAAGGTAGTCAGTTATATGAAACAGTGAGAGAGTAAAAAAAACCAAACTGCGTTGGACATCTAAGAAAGTAAGGGAGTCATATTTGGGTTCATACAGAGAGTAACAAATGAGGCAAGGGGCAGTTTTCCAGTGCCACCCCACAGATATTTAGGGGGCTAAATTGACGTATCCAACGGGGCAGAATGAATCTGTCAAATTTGTCTGGTTGCCCTGTTTTTGTGTAGACATTCATTCCTACCTCTTAATGAGCCCCTACACAGCCAGACACAGTTTGAAAATAGGAATAAGTGTGTGGAAAAAGTTACTTCTGGATCTTGAAATAAAATTAAGTGAGGCCATGCATGTCAAAACACTACCTAACCATTATGTTATTCACTTGGCCACTCTCTTTGTTGAACTGTTTCTTTACATGTAATCTGTTACAGCAATTGAATCTCAAGCCTTTGTGCAACATATGTATAATATGTATAGTGAGCGATGAGTGATGATGAGGTTTGATATTAGCTTTGCCCCCCTGATGTGTTGCGTATCTGTCTCCTCAGAGATTACCAACATGTTTTTCTCTCTGTGCTTGGTAGATTATCTGCATACCAGCTTGGTATCAGTGATCCTCTTGAATGAGTGTGTGGGGTGGGCACAGCCGGCAGCTCTGGCTGTGAGCCCATTACACAACAGGCTTAATAAACAGGGAGTGTGTGCTCTTCACTGTTAATCACTCACTACTTGTGATACAGGCCCATAGGAAGCAGTCACACAAATGTGATGTGAATTTAGCTTCTTTTTTAAGAGCCAGAGTTGTGGCAGTGCAGTGTGCACACTGTACTGGTCCAGGTTTGGTTAAACTAAGACAAGCACTGAGTGATTGGAGTGGCCTGACAGCTAAGCCCCCTAAGGAATTGTGATATTTTACATTTTTGCTTTCATTTGTCAATTTTATAGCACCAACTTCTAGAGACATCTGTTGGGATGAGAGGTAAAGACTTGATTTTCAAAGGCAGACACAATGAGCAATAAGGATAAGAATCAGTCATCAGATTCTTCAAATCCTAAAATGAATATTAAACTCTTATGTGATCACTTAGATTTTCTTTTTAAATGATTCACAGACATTCCTCAATTGGCTCTAACTCTATAAGTGTTGTGTCTCTCTGCATTACTGTGTTAGCGTTTCAGTGTGTGTGAGTGATTGTGATTTGTGTGCGATGAGAGAGTTGTCAAAAAGTGGCAATTATCTAAACAACCCAAAGGAATAATCAGCTTCTATAATTGTTTACT